AGCACACAGCGCAATGTCAGGTTCAAACTCATGAACCGTGAGATCATAACCTGAGCTGAAATCAAGAGTCGGATGCTTAACCGACTGAGCCACCCAAGTGCCCCTGGAGGAGAATGTCTTAATTCTTAGATCTGTGAAGTACTACAGATAAGCACACAGGGCAAACTATTACCAACTGTTGAATCCAGGCAAAGAATATTTAGTTGCTCTAAACTTCCAACTTTTCTGTATATTTTCAAAGGTCCAAGGTGCCTGGGTGGCTCAGTTGGTTAAGCATCCGACTTTGGCTCAGGTCATGATCTCACGGTTCGTGGGTTCGACCTCTGTGTCAGGCTCTGTGCTGACAGCCAGCTCAGAGCCTGGAGGCTGCCTTTGGATTCTGTGTCTCCCTCTCTCTCTGACCCTCCCCTGCTTACGCTGTCTCTCTCTCTCTCAGAAATAAATAAAACATTAAAATTTTTTTAAAAAAATAAAAGGTCCAAGATAAAAAGTTGGATAAAAAAGGAAGGGAGAAGATTAGAAAAAGCATAAACAACTTTTTGGAGGAATTTTGCTATGAAGGGAATGTATTAGTTTCCTAGAGCCACTGTAAAAAATTACCGCAAACTGCATGGCTTAAAAGAACGGAAATTTGTTCTCTCTGGAGAATAGTGTTCTGGAGGCCAAAAGTCCAAAATCAAGGCACTGGCAAAGGCCACGCTCCCTCCAGAGGCTCTGAGGGAGAATCGTTCTTTGCCCTTCCAACTTCCGGTGGCTCCTAACACTCCTTGACTTGTGGCCGAATCATTCCTGCCTCTGCCTTTGGGGTCATGTGGCCTCCTCTTCTTCTCTGTATCTGATCCCCTTTGTCTCTTTCTTATAAGGATACTTGTGATGGCACTTAGGGCTCACCCAGATGATCCAGAATAAACTCCTCCTTTCAAGATCTTTAGCTTAATCTCATCTTTTGCCATGTCAAGTAATATTCACTCTTCTGTCCTATGAGGCAATATGCAGCTTCCTGGAACCAGGAAGTAAGTATATCTTTAGGGGGCCACTTCTGTGCCGACTACAGGGAGCCAGAAAAATGGGACAGTATCCAGAGGGGCATATGTGGTCAAGGTTTTGTGTTTTTTTTTAAAGATAACGTTTTGTTTTTTTTAAAGGTGTGTGTGTGTGTGTGTTTTAAGATGAGGGCAATAGGGGCGCCTGGGTGGCTTAGTTGGTTAAGCGTCCGACTTTCGCTTGGGTCATGATCTCGTGGTTCGTGGGTTCGAGCCCCGCCTCGGGCTCTGTGCTGACTGCCAGCTCAGAGCCTGGAGCCTGTTTCAGTCTGTGACTCCCTCTCTCTCTGACCCTCCCCTGGTCACGCTGTCTCTCTCTCTCTCTCCTAGAAATAAATAAAAATATTTTTTAAAAAAAGTTTTAAGATGAGGGCAATAACAGCATGTTTATAATAACTGATTTAGTACTTTGCTAAAAGTACTAACTGGTTTTAATACTATGCTGAGGTTTATTTGTTTAGTGTGTTAGTCACTTTGACCCAGGAATATTCGTAAAGGAAATAGGAAGTTACCTTCAAGATGAAAATCAGGGTTACACTTGAGAATTCAATTAAGAATAATCAAAATGTATTGGAGGAGACTTTTTGTCAAACACAGCAGATTGAACACACATGTGTTTAACGCCAAACCTCACCAAGATGAAAATAAAGGGATAAATATAGTATAAAACCATAAACAGTGAAGACCATTAATTAACAAGCCCCGTCTGTGCACACAGACTAAGATCAAACATTTGAGGAAAACCTCCAACATGCACACACACACACACACACCTGAAAAAAGGGTGGTAGGGGGAGAAGAATTCAAAGGAAACAATAAGAAAAGCAGAACAATTAGAAACAGGAAAATTCTTCCTTGGAGAGCTAAGAGAACATGTACACGAAACAAAAACAGAAATGCTATATATATAAAAAAAGAATCAATGAACAAGAGAATTGAAATTTTTTAAAAAACTTCAATAGAAAGGATAAGATGATAAAGTTAATGACACTATCCAGAGAGTAGAATAAAAGAGGGACAAATGTAGAAAAAAAGGTAAGAGCCCCAATCGGGCTCCAAATTCCTACAGTAGAGCCACCGAAAATGAGACAAGCAGGCAGGGTGACCCGTCAGAGTGGTAGAAAACAGGTAATTTACATAAGGAAGAAAAACAGGACATATCCAATAGAATAAAGGTTTTAGAAAAAAGAGAATAAAATTGTAATTATAAACAGTGATACTTAGAAGTTAGAAGATAGTGGGGCAATGCCTTTAAAATTCAAAACGAAAAATATTTCCAACCTAGAGTCCCATAATAGCTGAGCCTTGTAGCTCTTCCTCTGCATTCCCTCCTTGCAGACTCAGATGCTCTCTCATCTCGTATTTACACCTTCTGGGTCAATAATGTTCTGCTCAGCTCTAATTTCTCCTCTTTGGCTTGCAATAAATCAATCAAATATGAGAGAAGAATCAATAGATTCAGGCAGATACGTTATCACAAAGTTTACCTCCCATGGTCCCTGTCTCTAGAAGCTATTAGATGACGTGGTTGGCCAAAATAAGGCTGTAAAACAAGAAAGAGGAAGAAGATCTAAGATCCAGGCAGTAGGAGATCCAAGACAGAAGAACAGAGAGAAGTGTTAAGAAGCCCAGGAAAGCAGCTATGGAGCAAGCCTGGAACAGAGCCACTCTACGTCCAACCCAGAGGACAAAGAACTCAAAGAAGGAAATTGCTGGGGGGAAAAATGAAATTAATACATTATCTATTAGGTTTGACTATATGAACAAAAATATGGCATGGGCTTTACAGATCTTTCAGAGACTTCGCAGAAAATTAGCAGAGGATATGTAAAAAACTTAACCATTTAGGGGCACCTGGGTTGCTCAGTGGGTTAAGTGTCCAACTTTGGCTCTGGTCATGAACTCAGTTCATTAGTTCAAGCCCCATGTCAGGCTTCTGGCTCTGTGCTGACAGCTCAGAGCCTGGAGCCTGCTTCAGATTCTGTGTCTCCCTCTCTCTCTGCCCCTCCTCTATTTGTGCTCTCTCTCTCTCTCTCAAAAAAAAAAAAAACATTAAAAAAATAAAAACATGAGTCTATTATAAATTTGTGTCATGATATTTATGATATAGTGAAGTTTCTACTCCACAGAAATACTACAGACTTTTAAAAGTACACGGAGGTGGGGCTTCTGGATGACTGAGTTGGTTAAGCATCCAACTCTTGGTTTCAGCTCAGGTCATGATCTCGAGGTTCATGAATTTGAGCCCCGTATCAGGCTCTGCACTGACAGCGTGGATCCTGCTTGGGATTCTCTGCCTCCCTCTCTCTGCACCTCCTCCCGCTCACTCTTTATCTCTTCCCCCAAAATAAATAAACTTTAAAAAAAGTAAATTATAAATAAATAAATAAATAAATGTACATGGAGGAAAAGGGTGAAATATTTCTTTCATCCTAACTATCCATGGCTGCGTTCCGTCATCTCTTACATCCCTGTCCAAGAGACAAACAGGATCTAAGCTAAACAGCCTAAGTTTTGACATTGATCTCTTTTTTTTTTAATTTTTTTTTAATGTTTTATTCATTTCTAGGAGAGAGAGAGAGACAGCGTGAGCAGGGGAGGGTCAGAGAGAGAGGGAGTCACAGACTGAAACAGGCTCCAGGCTCTGAGCTGGCAGTCAGCACAGAGCCCGACGCGGGGCTCGAACCCACGAACTGCGAGATCGTGACCCAAGCGAAAGTCGGACGCTTAACCGACTAAGCCACCCAGGCGCCCCGTGACATTGATCTCTTGACAGCAGGCACTCAGGAAGTCTTCTCCCTTCCCTGGGATGAGAGTGGATGATGGATGGCATGTGGAAGTCATAAAAGAAAGAAAGCCCCAAAACAGACTGACACAAGAGGAAAAGTCCATGTGATTAGATGAGCCACCTAAGTCAAAGTTGGAGGGGTGCCTGGATGGCTCAGTCGGTTGAGTGTCCAACTCTTGATTTTGGCTCAGGTCATGATCCCAGGGTTGTGGGATCAAGCCCACTGTCTTGCAGCACACAAAGCATGGAGCCTGCCTGGGATTCTCTCTATTTTCCTCTGCCCCTCTCCCCACCCCACACTTACACTTTCTCTCTCTTAGAAAAAAAATCTATATATACATATATACACGCATACACGCATTATATATATGGTGTAAATATATACACATGATATATATAATGTATATACAGTATATTTATGTATATATACATACAATGTATATATGTGTATATACACATATATAATATACATTATATACCTAAAATATAGGTCAAAGATGGAAACAATAACACAAATAGTTGAGGTAACTTCCAATTGAGTATGAGCAACTCAAATTTGATGTGTGAAGGAGAGGGAAACCCATGGAAATGGTGATGATGGTGAAGTGACTGAAACAGTGGAATCCAGCAATTATTCTGGAGGCACTTGGGGGCCAGTTAGAGGGAAGAGCCATGAATGTGAACTTGGTCCAGATGTATGGGGCCCTGCAAGAGGCCTGTCCCATGATATTGTAAAACTGGCTTACATGGGAGGGCCTACAGAAAGATTAAAGGAAATAACTTTAAAACCCAACAAACATGATCATGAGGAGGGGATTTGACGTCTTACTTTTTTTTCCTTCCCTTCTTTATTTTCTTTGCTCTTGCTTTGGTCACTTTGGAGCCTCTCATTCTTCTTCAGGATCCTCTTTCAGAAGTTTTCTTTGCTCGCTCCAGCCTACATCTTCCTTCACAACCTCCATTATCTATCTTTTATCCTTCTGTAATTTTCCATTTTTCTCACTATGCATTCTTCTGTATCTCGTAAACCCAATCACACATTAAATGAAATCTTCTAGACCATCCCAAATCCATTTCTCAAACACTTCCCTATAAGCCCATCAGTCACAGTTCTTCTCCAAGAAACCAATCTCCACTTTTCCTCGATCAACACATTTTCAGATCTTTTCTTTCTCCTCAAAATCCTAAAAATGTTCCCATTTCCCTTTCTCTACTCTTCTTGGTTTCCTTTGGTCTTGTTCTCCACCTTCAACTCCAGAAGCTCTTCGTTCCCGTGCTCTCCTTTCCTCTCTCAGATTTACCTCTTTGGGGTAAATAATTGCTTGGCTCTACTTTATCCTCTTTGACTTATAATGCTTCCTCTATCTCCTTCTCTTTCTTTCTTTAGCTTCAGTCCTTCATCTGCCTCATTCACCACTACCTTCACCTACAACCTCTTTCTCTTCCACAGTAACAGATTCAACAGCAATATCATTCACTACACCCAAGACCTCCTCAGTTCCCGCTTCCTCAGCCCCTTCGAGCCCCTCATCATTCCCTTCCAGTCTTTCAACAGGAATTTCCATCTCAGCATTAGTAACTTCTACCACTCTTTCAATACGTTCTTCATCTATGCTCCCCATTCCGGAGTCCTCCAGCTTCTCCCCACTAGTGCCCAGTTTTACGGCACTTGACTGCAGTTTATCTCCAGTGGATCTCAAATCCTCTCCACTAGTTCCCAGCTTCTCCCTCCTAAATCGGTGGTTCTCTCCACTTGACCCCAGCTTCTCTCCACTTGACCTCAGTTTCTCTTTACTAGACCTCAGTTCCTCTCCACTCAGGTTCTCTCCACTTGACCTCAGTTTCTCTCTACTAGACCTCAGTTTCTCTCCACTCAGCTTCTCTCTTGACTTCAGCCTCTCTCCACTTGATCCCAGCTTCTCTCCACTTGACCTAAGCTTCTCTCTACTAGACCTAAGTTTCTCTCCACTAGACCTCAGTTTCTCTCCACTCAGCCTCTCTCCACTAGACCTCCGCTCCTCCTCATTCTGCCCTAGTGTATATCCCCTGGATCTCAGGTCCTCTCCGCTGGTTCGCTCTCCAGTAAACTTTAACCTGTCTTTAAAACCAGACCCCCTCCTAGATCCTGCTGCAGTCCGGACACTTTCAAATTCAGCGCCTATTTGGCCTCTGATTTCTTGCTTTCCCCACATCGCCCTTGGGCTGTTTTGCCCCAATTCTGCCGAAGCCTGTAATGCACCTGCTACACTGTGGGGTGGCTTCACATCCATCTTTTCCTGACTCTTGCCTGACTTCTCTTTGAAGACCCTCTTTTCCACACCTTCCAGTCTCCAGTACTCAGGGTCAGCCTTAGGGTCCGACATCCTAGGCTTTTGTGTATTTCTACTCTGAAGCTCCATTCTCTTCCCGATCACAATGAGCCCGTTCCAGGGCACCCACAATTTTTCTCGCAGCATCTGGGCCCCTCTGCTTCCTGGCTCCGGGCACGACCGCTGGTGATCCCGGGCCCGGCTTCCGGCCTTGCGGCGTCCCTTCACTGGCCTGTGCTGCTTACCCCGCACATCCCTCATGCCCCGGAGCGAATATCCTAACGGAACTCCTTTCTCCACAGACATTACCCCTCACCTTCGTCCCTGGCCCACCACCCACCCCTGCTCCCCATTCCCTCCCCCCACCCTCCCCCGCAGCCCACTGGCCCGCCGCCTCGCCCACCGCCCGCAGGGCGCGCGGCAGAGCTAGTGCGCACGCGCAGGTCGCGCGAGGCGGTTGGAGGCGGGGCGCGGAGCTGCGGCGCGCGGCCGGCTGCCAGCCTGGGGGGCGGGGGCTGACGTGGCACGAGGCCTCTGCAACCCCAGAACCCCCGACCCCGGCCCCCACGTTGTCGCCGATTCCCGGCCCTCTCGGTTCCGCGCTGCCCCCCTTAAAAGCTGGGGCCAAGCACAGGAGCCACAGGCGTTGCGGCCAATGATGCCGCTCACGGTGAACCTGATGCCCAATCAAAAGGCGCGGCTGCTAAGGGACGGGTGGGAACCACGCCTGACGCCAGGTGACTCCTGGCAGGGCGGGGAACGTGACTCGGTCAGCTGATCGGGTCCCGTGCCGCGGGCGAGCCGTCGGGGACGGAAACTGCGGGAGCGCGCGGGCAGTGGCCAGCCGCGGAACGCTTGGGCGCTGCAGCCAAGGAGGGTGATGGAGGGGCGTCAAGAGCCTGGGAAGGAGAACAAGGTAAAGAGAAAAATGCAACCCCCCTCCAGCCTCCGCCTCACTCCGTGGTACCCAGTGGTGCCCAATCAGGGAGTGGGGCGTGTGTGCGTGTGTTCGCGCGCGCGCGTGAGCTCGAGGATAGACCTGAGCAAGGGGGTAGGGCGCCTCTGTGACACCTGCACGGGGCCAAAGGAGACAGGGTTTACCTTCCCCTGACAGATGGAAAGGGACCGGCACTGCCACTCACTCCTCCCCTCCCTCCCCAGGTTCTGGCTTCATGGCCCAGAGGAGGAAGGAAGCCTGTTAGGGATTGAGAAGGGGATGGAGTACACTTCTTTGCCAAGGAAGGAATCTGGTGCAACACCAACGGCTTCACTTTTGTACCTGTGTTCATATAATATAAGATCATTAATTCTTCACTCTTTGCTTGATTTCAGTCAACAAATAGTTATTGAGCAGCCTTGGGCGCATAGCGTGCACACTTTTGAGAGTTGGAGGTATGTGCATAGTGGGCTGTGGCTGAGGATGCGGATGGAGTAGCTGTGGTCCATCCTTGAAGTCCCCTCTCCCTCAAGCAGTTACCAAACAATACAGGTTAGAACAGAGATACTAAGACAGCAGGGGGTAATATAGAGGGCTTAGGGACCCACTGTACCAACGAGCCAGATTGTGTGTTGGGGGGATTGTGGTGGGACAAAGGAGCTTGCCCTGGGGATGTGGGAGAAGCCAGGAAGTGAGGAGTGCGGTTCAACCGGAGTTTGGAGGGGTGAGAGGGCCCGAGAGACACAAAGCATGGAGGAGAAAATATGTGTTTCAGTGTTTATCTGTGTTCATATTCATGATTAATTTAATTAATATATGTAAGATGCTTAGATCAGTGCCTGGCATATAGGAAGCTCAAGTTATAAGTGTTAGCTATTATTACTGTTTTTGTTATATCTCTTATCATATGGGATGTGTGCTGGGCTATCAGACTGATGGCTGCATCCCCAAACTTTGTAGGTGCCAGGCTCTCTGAAAGCCCACTATTAGATCATGTCCACTAGAGTAAGCATTGCCTTCTCTGAGATTCTCTTTTATATAGAGATGTAAAGAATACTAAATGGGGGCGCCTGGGTGGCTTAGTCGGTTGAGCGTCCGACTTTCGCTTAGGTCATGGTCTCGCGGTTCGGGGGTTCGAGCCCCGCGTCGGGCTCTGTGCTGACTGCCAGCTCGGAGCCTGGAGCCTGTTTCAGTCTGTGACTCCCTCTCTCTCTGACCCTCCCCTGCTCACGCTGTCTCTCCCTCTCTCTCCTAGAAATAAATAAAAATATTAAAAAAAAAGAATACTAAATGAAGATGTAAATAAAAGTATAATAGAAACGAATCTGAAATAACGCAAAAATACTTGCTTAATCTAACGGAAGTCAAGAAAGAAAGAATAAAGGAACAAAAAATAGATGAGCCAAAGGAAGAAAAAAAAAGGCAAGATGGCAAGTTAATAGCCTATATCAGTAATTACAATAATTAGCAGTAGACCAAACACTCAATTAAAAACATATTCATGAGGGTGCCTGGCTGGCTTAGTTTGTAGAACATGCAACTCTTGATCTTGGGGTTGTGAGTTTGCACCCCACCTTGGGTGTAAGATTACTTTATGTTTATTTATTTTTGAGAGAGAGAGAGAGAGAGAGAGAGACAGAGTGTGAGCGGGGGAGGGGCAAAGAGAGAGGGAGATATAGGATCTGAAGCAGGCTCCGGTCTCTGAGCTGTCAGCACAGAGCCCAACACTGGGCTTGAGTCTACGAACTATGAGATCATGACCTGAGCCCAAGTTGGATTTTAACCGCCTGATCCACCCAGGTGCCCCAGGTTATTTTTAAAAAAAAACATTCAAAGGGGCGCCTGCGTGGCTCAGTCGGTTGGGCGTCTGACTTCGGCTCAGGTCATGATCTCACGGTTCGTGGGTTCGAGCCCCACTTTGGGCTCTGTGCTGACACCTAGCTCAGAGCCTGGAGCCTGCTTCAGATTCTGTGTCTCCCTCTCTCTCTGACCCTCCCCTGTTCACGCTGTCTTTCTCTCTCTCAGAAATAAATAAAACATTAAAAAAAAAAAATCAGAGGCACCTGGATGGCTCAGTGGGTTAAGCATCTGACTTTATTTTCAGCTCAGATCATGATTTCAGCATTGTGGGATCAAGCCCCACATTGGGCTCTGTGCTGACAGTGCAGAGTCTGCTTGGGATTCTCTCTCTCCCTCTCTCTTGCCCCTCGCCCCTTCTCTCTCTCTCAAAAATAAACTTAAAAAATTCATATTGGATTTTTTTTCAGATTGGATATTTATTTATTCATTCATTCATTAATTTGTTCATTTATTTATTGGGGTGCCTATTGGGGTGGCTCAGTTGGTTAAGCAGCCAACCTCAGCTCAAGTCATAATCTTTTTTTTTTTAATTTTTTTTAAATGTTTTATTTATTTCTAGGAGAGAGAGAGAGACAGCGTGAGCAGGGGAGGGTCAGAGAGAGAGGGAGTCACAGACTGAAACAGGCTCCAGGCTCCAAGCTGGCAGTCAGCACAGAGCCCGACACGGGGCTCGAACCCACAAACCGCGAGATCATGACCCAAGCGAAAGTCGGACGCTTAACCGACTAAGCCACCCAGGCGCCCCAGCTCAAGTCATAATCTTAACGTCTGTGGGTTTGAGCCCCATGTCAGGCCCTGTGCCTGGAGCCTCCTTTGGATTCTGTATCTCCATTTCTCTCTGCCCCTCCCCCACTCACATTCAGTCTGTCTGTCTCTCTCAAAATAATAAACATTTTAAAGTTATTTATTTATTAATAGAGCATGAGGTGGGGGAGAGGAGCAGGGGGAGAGAGAGAGAGAGAGAGAGAGAGAGAGAGAGAGAGAGAGAGAATCCCAAGCAGGCTCCATGTTCATTACAGAGCTCAATGCGGGGCTTGATCCCGCAACCCTGTGAATATGACCTGAGCCGAAACCAAGAATCAGATGCTAAACTGACTGAGCTACCCAACCACCCCAGACTGGACTTTTTTAAGACAACTATATTCTGTTAAAAAGGACATGCTTTATAAGGACACAAAAAGAGCGCTAACCAAAAGAATGCTGGCATGGCTATGTTAGTTAATTTCAGACAAAGTAGATTGTAAGACAAGTATTACTAGAAATAAAGAGGGACATTTTTTTTAATGTTTATTTATTTCTAGGAGACAGAGAGAGAGACAGCGTGAGCAGGGGAGGGTCAGAGAGAGAGGGAGTCACAGACTGAAACAGGCTCCAGGCTCCGAGCTGGCAGTCAGCACAGAGCCCGACGCAGGGCTTGAACCCACGAACCGTAAGATCATGACCTAAGCGAAAGTCAGACGCTTAACCAACTAAGCCACCCAGGTACCCCAAGAGGGACATTTTATAGTGATTAAGGAGTCAAGTCAACAGGAAGATAAAACAGTCCTAAATTTATATGCAACTAATAATATCGTTTTAAAATATGCAAAGTAAAAGATTATAGAATTAAAAGGAGAAATAGACAAACCCATAATTACAGTTAGAGATTTAACACAACTCTCTCAAGTGTTAGAACAAAAAAAAAAATCTGTAAGGATTTTGAAGATTTAAAATACCATGATTAATCTATTTGATCTAATTGGTTTACGTAGAGCTCTGTACCCAATAATTGCAGAAAACGCATTATTTTCAAGTGCACTTGAAACATTTACCAAAATACATCATATATTGGGCTATAAAGCAAGTATCAACAAGTTATGAAACATTGAAATCATACATAATGAGATCTCTGTCCAGTAGGATTAAGGAATCAAAAAGATTCCAAAATATTTGGAAAGTAAGTACCATGCTTCTAAATAATTCATAGGTCAAAGAAGAAATTATAATTAAAATTAGTTTTTTAAAGAAATGACTTTGAAAATATGATATATCAAAACTCATGAGATGCAGCTAAAGCAGTATCCAGGGGGAAATTTATACCTCCAAATGCATATTTTAGAACAGAATAAAGGTGGAGAAGTCAATGATCTAAACTTCAATCTTAAGAAACTAGAAACAGCAGAGCAATTAAAACCCAAGAAAGAAAAAGGAAGGAAATAATAAGGAACAGAAATCAATTAATAGAAGATAAATATATAAACATAGAAACTCAATAATGCCAAAAATAGTTTTTTGAAAATACCAGTAAAAACTGACAAACTTCCAGGGGCACCTGGTGGCTCAGTCAGTTAAGCGTCCAATTCTTGGTTTTGGCTCAGGTCATGATCTCACAAATTGTGAGTTTGAGCCCCACCTCAGGCTCCACACTGACAGTGCAGAGCCTCCTTGGGATTCTCTCTCTCTCCCTCTCTGTCTCTGCCCCTCCCCTACTAATGCTCTCTCTCTCACAGACACACACAAAATAAATAAATAAA